GCCGCAACTTTTTTTTACAGCCCCCCTTCATTTGCCAGAAGAAACTTTCCGCCGCCATGGCGAACGCAATTGCTCGCGCCGAGTCGTTCGACTTGGCCGAATTCTCCCTCGTCCCTCGACTTTCCTTCCTTCGTTTTCCCTCGTCGTGGCTTCGTCTAAGAGCGTACCGATTCAACGAGGAGTCATCGTCGCGCCAACCGGAGACACGGTGGTTGGATTTCATTTCGAGTTCCCGTCGAGTTTCGCGAACTCGTCCCGCGATTCGCGGGGGTAACGATCGATCGGCTGGTAACGCTATGGCGCGGCCAGAGGGGGGGATAATTCAGATGCGAATGTTTGCGAAGAAAACGTTTCCTGGGGAAATCATAACCTCGCGGGGTAAGGGAAGGGATGGTGGGTAAATTTGACGTGGAAATAATATTTATGGCTTGCCCGGCGAACGGTATTTTACATTTCGTGCCTCGCCAGAGTAAATGGCTAAGAAGTTAATGATGTTTGGTACCCCGAACGTTTCCCTCGGAACCGGTTTCAATTAACGCGTCGCGGTGCAAGTATATTTCGATACGTTTCGACATCTGAATTCGGTGCAACTCTTCGCGATAATTGCCCCGTGAGTGGAAACGAGTAACAGGGACGGACAATTAACGTGGAATAGATTAAACTTCATCGAGACCCTTTGTGGTTGGTAACATAACAGAGTACAACGTTCGCGAGTTGACCTTTCGAAATTTCGACGAGGACAGACGCGTGGAAAAGCGACGAAAGAGGACAGCCGCGTCTGGTAATTAATTAAAAACATTTAAGGTAAACCCCTCGAGCCAAGGTCGATACCGACACCAGGGAACGTCTTCTTCCTGCTATAACTTTTCTGGCCCACCCTGCTCGGCTCTCGGCGAACCTTCGCCCTCTTTCTCTCCCGTCAGCCGCGCTCGTTCCTTCGTCCCGCCCGCGCACGCGAATTATTAGAACGGCTCTCCATCTCTCTCGGGTACCCTTGTTACCCCACCGTTAATTAGAGTACAGTCTGCTACTGACGACAACCAACTGCAAAGGAGAGTCTTCACCAGCACGCCCTTCCCTGCGCTTCACCGCGTCGTCGCTCACCAACTCCACCCCCATGGCTCCCCTACGGCTGATCCGTGCCACCGGTGCGATGTTTGTGACTTGAATTATTCCACCGAATCTCCACACGACCCGTGAGTGCCCTTCAAGGGGACTCGCCGGACCAGCTTAGACACAGCGATGACCCGGCCGAGGTCATCCCCGCATCGTCCTCGAAAATTCAGCTTTCCGCGCGAGAACGACCGGATGAAGGAAAATATTACTCTCCATTCGCCGGATACTCTTTACGCCATAGCGTGGAAATATCAAGAGAAGGATACGAAAGTAGGAATTATCCGTTGGTCCAGTTTGACTGCGGCGTCTGACCATAAACGCGCTTAAACTACTTGCTCGACGCTCAACGTTTTATCCGGTAAGCGAATTACTATCGGTCGATGTTAACATCGCCGATTGCAAACAAACCCGAAGATGAGATCTTAATTCCCCACGATCGATCAGCGCTGGCGATTAAACCCGATTCGCGGTCAGTCTGGTCAAAGTTTCGAGCAGGCGGACATGCCCTGATCGGTACCCAGCTCAGGCCGGTAATCGTAGACGTATCCATGGGAAATGGAGTTACTTCGTGCGCGTTTAGAATTGATTTCCAACCTGCAAGCCGCCGTGTGTCTTCGGTGAACGATCGCGTGATTATTTCTCGATCCGATCTACGCGAATCGAATGATTACTCGAAAGCGAGCGACGCGTTTGCACCGTGAAAGATACCGTCCCCGGAGCGTGATAATTCGATCTCCGCGTGATGCATTGTTATCGATCGGAAGCCTCACCGGTCTCTGCGAGCCCCTGTACGAGCGTTAATGGAAAAGAATCGCATGTTCTTCGTTAATAAATTCGCCGATCCCAGCGCGGCTTTATTATTCCCCGTTGACGGACGATCCAATCTAGGCGAGCGAAACGCTCGCGGAGTATTCGACCGTGAATTCGCGATTGCTTAAAACCGTGATCCTAAAGTTCGATGAAATGGCGGCCGGCGACAGTAGAAAGGCACGCTCGAGTAGAATAAATCTTCGACTGGTCAGCCCTGTTTAGGTAGAAACGTGGGAAACGTACAAGTTGATTGAAAACGCGTAGCAAGTTCGGGGAGCGTGTAACGCAAGCGGAGTTAATTGATAAGTTCTTCTGCCATTCGTGACAGCGATCGAGGGCGGAAGCATTATAAACGTCGAACGTGCGAATTGCAAGCGGAATTAACAGCTTCCGAAGTTCATTCCGCATCCGTGAAACGCGCCTATGCGACGTAATTAACCGACATAAACGCGGCGCAGCTTCTGAACCGAATCGATTGTCGATTTATCGTTCGAGATCCCGTCAGCTGTACCCGTCGCGAAACATCAAACCACGCGCGATATTCTTCGACGAGCGTCACGTGGCGGGGGTCTGCAACGTGATCGAATTTAGGCGAACGCGAACGCGTTGATTTAGAGACACCGTGGAAATATTTCGCGAGCGGAATGAAGTTTCCGTCGACGGGGTGTATGATAAACGGGGCGAAGAATTTCATTAGCGAGCGAAGGGGTTGGAGGGGACGGAAAGAGCGAAAAGGGTGGATGGTGGATCGTCTGGCAAGATGACGCGCGATCGGTGCGCCATCGATCGGCACTATTCGGCAGAGACGGTCGTGAGAAGGGATCGATTGATCGTCGCACTTGACCCGAATCGGCCGGCGCTGATTAAAACGGGCCTCGGCTCGCAGCTTTTCCTATTTGTCAGCGACACGTGTCGTCGCGATCCGCTCGCGAAACTTCCGCGTATCCGGCGAGTTATTAGCGAGAGGCAGCGCGTGCGAGAGTAATCCGAGATCCATCGGAGCCGTTGCAAATCACGCCACCTTTCCACCTCCCTTCGTTGTTTCCCTTGCCCTACGCGTCGACTTGTTCCGAGCACCGACCCGACGCGCCATTAATTGTACTCGTTCTCCAAGTTCCGCGCGAGCGACGCTGCGAGTTAATTGACCCGATCAATCCGACGCTTTCCCCGGTGCCGCAGCTGCACTCTCGATCGGCCTCTTCGATCGCCGAGTCGCGAAACGAGAAAAATATATGGCAATGGAAGGGTAAGAGTAGCGAGGACCGAGGTGCAGGAGTTCCATTGAATTACGCGAATAATTCCACACGTGATCCGACCTTGAACGACCTAGAATTACCTAGGATATATTCGACGAACCTCGGAAATACCCTGCGACGCCATATTTTGCAACACCTGGCCACACTTTTCGCGATACCGATAGTTTAATCGCGCACGATTGTCGACTCTTCGCGATGAAGCTTTTGACGCAATATATTCGGCAACATCGAATTCGCTATCTTATCACGCGAATGGTGGCGGAATTATTTATCAACCTGTATCCCCCTTGCAGCTGAAAATCGCAGTTATCGCTGTTTCCGATTCCCCTATTCGTCGGGGCGAAACGAAAAACATTCGGTTTTGACGAGCTGCGAAAATATGTAAACCGGGACGCGTCGATACGGTTATTTGTAAGTCAAGCAGGTGCTAGGCTGGAGCGGTGTCGTTTCGAGATCAATCGGGGCCGAAGAGAAATTGCCCGCGCGTGAGAAACGTCCTCCCACCCTCCCGCGTGGAATATGAATCGTTGGCACAAGCCATGAATGAACGGCGTTACCCGTGTTTCATGGCCCACGACCAGGCACAGTGAATTTTCCCCTTTTATTTTTCACCGGCTTTAGACGCTCCCGGGATTGCAAACATCGCCAATTAGGCGACGTGCGCGGCGTTGGCAACGAGAACGCGGCTGAAAAATCCAGCGCGACTTCGCCTAACGAGTAGTTAATTCGACTGGTTTACGACACTCGTGTGGCACGGCCGTTGTAAATTTCATTTGAATATCAGCGCGAGTTATAAAATTTCTCGGGAAATATATATTTCGTTGTATTCGGTTACGCGAAAAGTATGGCTGGAAACGCGCACGCTGCGTTGCGATGTTGAAACGCGGGGTGCAGAGAGAGAGAACAGGGGAACCACCGGTGCGGTTGAAAATGGCCGGTCCCATCGTAGGTACGAAGTTTCGAAAATCAGAGATTCGAATCACGGTATTCAAACTTTCTCACGAGCAAAAATTTTTCCCCCGCGTCGATGTAGAATTTTCGCATTTACGCGGCTAATCGTCCTGTCGTGGCAGACTCGTCCTTTAATCCGATGACCTCCGCCATTGTTCTCGCGGTCTAAAGCAACGAGTATGCGAGCAGGCTCTAATTAAAATATGTCTTTTCTCTCTTTTTCCCCTCCATTCATCCGTAACCGTTTTCCCCCCACTGCGATTAGCCTTCCGTTATTCTGACTCGGGGAAGATGTATTAACACGGGATCGGCTAATTAGAATTGAAACTTAATTGAATTGAAATTTTAATAGAAACTGGCAATTATCGCGCGTCGGTCTTCTAACGGATTTCGTTTCCACTTTTATGAGTCTTCGAATTAGGCCGTCATACTACATTCCATGGTCTCGCGTAATATGCATCCGCGTAATATTCCTCCTTTGTGTCGTAATCAAATTTATACGACTGAACGAGCTATTACACGGTATAACGAGGAAAACTATTTCCCCGATATACGCGCGACGATATACGAGAAATTTCATATAAACGTACCATTCATCTGCCATTTTAATCGTTAAATTAACCGAACAAATGGTCATTTTTATCCTTTGCTACCCAATCGCTGTCTACCAAATTACCAAGTTATTAAATAATTATCGCGTCAGATTATTATAGAATACGAAATTAAATCAAAGCGGATAATTATAGACACTCCGTTGGACGACTAAATTAAATTACACGGCGTAGAGCAAACGAGCCATTTTCATCGACAGCGGACAGATTTATGGTACGCTCTGGAGAAAGATTAATAGCAAAGAAAGGTACTCACTGTACGTGCCCATGTAGATCGGTGTCCATGTGACCTGCGAGTGGACCAGCGTCGTAGCCACGAACAGCACGCCGAACCACACACACAAACGAGTCGCACTCATCTCACTAACAGCCCCGACAATCGCCATTTCCCACGTTTCAATCAGTTCTCTGCCTTAATATCATCTTCACCGGCGTGTCTGCCTGTACTGCCTCGTCTCTCCCCCTTTTACACACCGGGATCCGGCTCGTCCCCGATTTTACGTCTATCCGGAAAAATACCCGATAGCTCACAGTCACGATAATCTACCCCCACTAATTTTTACACGAATTTTAAACCACCTCCCCACCCTCTCCGAGGAAGCCGGTCTCGAACCACGAATTCGATAACCGATCGATCGAACGAATATTTATCTACGCGACATCTAGACGGGTCGTTTATAAGCAATTATCCGGGCAAGGAGTAAGACAGACCCGTGGTAATTTCGTACAGTCAACGGAAATTCACGGGGGTTAATGACCCGTGAACGAGCATCTGTTTTCGTGCGTTTCGACGTCCGCGGTTAAATTGTCCGTGTTATTATCGGTTTTTAAATTAGAGAAACTTTTGAATTAGCGCCTCTTTATCCCCTCGCTTCTTGTTTTCCGCCGCGATTCGCGGAAATCTCACCCCCGGACACTTTTTCACCGCGACGGTATCTTTATCACCGCGTCACTTTTGATTTACGCGGCGTCGTAACTCGCGTGCCCGCGTCGCGACGTCCTATTTCACACGCGTACGCGATGAATAAGAAATCCACGCGGCGTCGGCGTCGTTCGCACGTTTCGCAATGGCGTGTCGCGATCCACTGTTTCGACGCGACCGCGTTCGTCCTCTGTCCAGGAGCAACTGAGGTTTACAACGTGACGATTTTCGTTCCAGAAACTTCCTCGTGCCAGCCTGTGCCGCGTGCGCGGCCTTGGCTCGGGATTAGCGGGCTGGTCTGTAACAAAATGAAAACACAGGCCGTGTCGTTAACGAGTCTTCCTGATCGCGAGGTGATTCTGTGTTTATATGCCTATGGAATTCGAACAGGCTGTCGCCTTACTCGCACTTTCCTGTAAATGTGCTCGCCAGACACGTGGCAGCGAGTGTAAAATTTTACACGCTTCGCAATCGGACTCCCAGTTTGCGTTTCCTGACATGGAAATTTCCGTTATTCGCGTGACGCAAACTGTTCATTCTCTACACTCATTCTCGTTTCACAGACCCTTACAACACCCCAACCATCACCCAATCTAATCCTTAATATAGAAGCAAATCCTTCATGAAGAAACAGATAATTAACTCGCATCCTTTGAACCTCTATCTCCATCAAAGAAACCTGAACCTCATATACCCGTTCCATGCATTCACCCCGAAGAAAGAAGCCCAGAGTCGAGGAGACAACGGTTACCTCTTTACGACCAGCGTCCCACGACTCGCGGACCCCTAAATTTTTTAAAACACCATTCGAGTCAATCCTAGTAAGATCGTAACCTTTATAAACTAATAAATAATTAGCAGGATTTAATTAAACCTTCGCCTTCCTCTGAAAAACCTGTACCTTATCCCTATTCCCACACTTAGGAACAAAGGATCCGAATCAAAGGGACGATGCTTTACTCCTTCACAACCAGCATCCCACGACTCGTGGACACCTCGACCTCCTAAACTAACCCCCGAGTCCACTCCCCTCCCATAAAAAGATTAAAATTTCCCCAAAATCTAGAAACAAATTAACAATTTGTTTAAACTTCCACTCCCACCTACCGCTCCGGTACTCCCTGCACATTTCTCCAACGAGCAGCTTAGATACTTCGACAACCAATGACAGCACCACACTAACCTATAAAATACACGAAATCGAGAACACAGACACATTCGAAACGGAAAAACGACGCAAGCAACACAACGATCTTACGCATGTCGCTGATTCTCATCAAATCAATTCATAAATTATTTGTAATTATACTTTGTAAAATAAATTATTTTAAATATCGGAAAAATAGTTTGCGTTCTTAACACTATGCCGTCCGCCGGCACCACGTTGGTGTCATGCAAAAACTATCGGGCAAATGCCGGTGACACCGCGTTGGTACCATACACAAATGATGAGTTAGTCCTATCGGCGCCAAACAGAAGAATCCCGATTAGACGTGCGGACGGCATAGTGTTAAAACGAAGTAAAACTTCTGTAATTCAAAATGGTTCGGACGAAACGCAAACATCGCCTGACGAACAACACGTTCCCGTAGTAGCTAGGCAAATCGCGGCACTCGTTACCGCATCGGCGTGCATCGGATCCGAATGAAACGTGGCACTCCATCGTTCTCGGTAACGAGGAGAATCCGTACGAAACGTACGGAATACTCGTGGGTCGCGGACGTTCGCGTTTTCATTCTACGGGAAATGTCGTCAATGTCTCGTTAGCGTATCTCCATCGGTAAGAGCAACGCGTAAGCATCGTCGATCCTCGTGTTCCCAGGGCGACCCAGGGTGACCGTGATGCCTGAAGGTTAGACGGGGTCGAGACGAAGGCGGTTATAACGAGGTAGAAGGGGCATGTAGTATCTCCGTCGTTCATAATGCGACATGCCATACCGGGGATGCCGGTTTTGCCCTGTTATTTACTCGTTATCTCTCCGTTTTCGACCCGACCCGCTGCCCTATCCGGCAGTTACGAAAGCTATCGCTGTATCCGACAGCTCTACTCGAGATCCGTCGATCGTTTCCTTCGTGGCCTACCTCCTCTACTTATCGCGCTTCGTCTGACCGTGCGTTGTCTTATCTACTTGGCCGTAGGGGATCGGACGTTGCCGGCATCCCTGGTGCATCTCGTGTACCAGGAATGAATGGATCCCTTGGAAGAGTAACGTTAGAGGTTGTGATCTTTTCATTCGGCCGGGGTCCGACGTGACGCGAGGAAGGAATAATTTTCTGTATGACGTTGCTCGTTTGCGCGAATGGAATCTGTAAAAATTCTCGTCGACGGTCTCAACGGTGTCTTTTCACAGTGTCTAGACGTCTATTCGACATCGAGATTCTTGCAGAAGAAGCAAGGGATTAATCGATTCGCGTGGAGTACTCGGCAGCGACGAAAGAGTGCCCTTTTGCAGTCGGAATAAATTTGAATAAGCTTGTTTATCGAGAAGACCGCGAGGAATTACGTGAAAAGGTATCGAACGTCGCGATACGTTCCAGTACGTGGCTGGGTTCCATTAACCTCGTGCCGGGCTTACTCTATAGGTCAGTCGAGTGTGCCAGTGCCGGATCCAATCGTCCAATTACAGGTCGCCCCGCGTCTATCGGAGTCGGGGCCGTTTCCACCGAGTCTGGCCAAGTGTCTCTTTATACGGGGAAGCTTCCTTTCTTTAACTTGCCCCTTTCTTCTTTGACGGTGGACAGAAAAGGCGTAGAGGAAGAGGGTGAGCCCTCGTGGAACGCGGCCGCGGCTCGAACGAGCCCATTGAAAAGGCGCCGATGCAGTTAACTTAATCCAGGTGCTGATTGGACACGCCGAGCGGGAACGCGGCAACCCCCGGAATGGAAGGAAGGTAAAGAGGTTGCCGCTGGATTCTTCGCCGGGGTTGACCTTAATTGTGCCACGCAATTATAGCCACTTCCGTTTGATAGAAGTAATGCGCCGTTAAAAAAGGAAAGACCCGATAAAGCGGGAATCTGTGGTTATGAGAACGTCACAGGCACAAAGGAGGCCCTTTCTGCCTCTTCTTCCGTCCAATAAAAACGTTCCAACGCTCTCTCCGCCGTTATTACGATTCCCTGTCCTGTTCCTCTCCCTGCGCCGCGCGATCGGCTGGAACCAAGGGGTGGCTAGGTGTCGCCCCTGCTCCACGGAAAAATAAAGAGGAAATCTTTTCGAGAGCTTCTGCGTCGCCGCTCAGTCCATTCGCGTTGAAAAGGTAAGCACGAAGTTCGGTACCCTTCGGTGAGACTGCGCGATTATACCGGGCGCGAAGGGGCTCTCATCGTCGGTGAATCGATGAAAGAAATTGGCTTCGAAAATCTAGGTAATTACCTCGGTTCGGGGGACCGAGGACCGGGTCTTTTTATCGCGACAGGTACTTTTGTTCCGCGAGTTCGTTACGCGTTGGTCCCTCGGCTTCGACTGTAAATTATCGGACGTATGAAAATGCCGGTGCAAAGGGGTTGCTCGCGTTTCGCGAGAAAACGGACCGTGGTTCGCGTTCCTGTTTTCTGGTAACCGGTTATTACGGCGAACGGTTATTCTTGCACGGTCCTATCGAACGTAATCGTATTTAACACGCCACGTCGCAATAAACGGTAAGTACAATGTCGTGCGACCCTGGATATTAAATTGGATACAAGCCCCGTACGTAGTTGCACTTGTACCCAAAGTTTCGCGCGATAAGCCGCTCGGAGTTATCGTCGTAAAATATTCAAATCGCCCTTACGATCGCTCTACGTTTCAGGGCCCAGACGAGGCCGGGATATATTTACCGGGAGTGAGACGAGAGGAGCGCGTGGAACCACCACTGCGAACACCTCGTACCCCCTTTTTCCTCCATCTCTTTTCGTTTCATCGCGAGTTAACCACGAACCGCGTTCGTTTTTCCCTTCCGCGAATCGATTTCACTTTTAATCTCGCGAACTTCGCGAGGAGGGAAGGCGATGGAAGACGAGAGAGAAGAAAGGATCGGAAAGGTTCGGCGAGGTTGGAAAATAGCGTTTGCAAGGCAATTCCGAGCTCGCGCAAAGATGCGAAAACGCGAATGTCGGGATTCGCGGAAGTAATTACTTCTGAAATTTGCAGCCTTTTAATCGTTCTTCGTTCCCTGCTAACGATCCTTCTTTGCCATTTTAACGGAGGAGCAAACAATTTCTTTTCTCTTATTCCGTTCCTTTTTACCCTCCGCTTTTTCGTTATTACGTTCTCCCGCTAAACGCTCGCGCTCGTTTCCCCGGACGACGGGAAAAGGATTGGAAAATCAGAGAGAAATCGGTGGATACCTGCATCGCGGTCCCGCGCTTTGAGTTGCACTCGGTCGTCAGACACGCGACGGGCTGTTGTAATTATTAATCGAGTCAGGCATCAATTAGCCGGAATATCGATTAATTGTGCGTCAGAGGTGTGTGTCTTGGCCCGCA